TTATTTGTTTTGTACAAATAGTAGTAGCTGTATAGTTAGCAGTTTAATGGTTAGCCCTAACTGCAAGTATTGGCCTCAGCCATAGCATATATACATATAACTATTTTAAATTATTAATAAAGATATAAGCAAAGCCTCACTTTAATACCAAAAAAAAACAAAAAAACAAACAGTTTTAAGTTTTTTCAAAATAGGTTTCATATACTTAATATTTTAAAGTTTCATATTAGTATTTATTTATTTTTTTACAATAATTTTAATAAGAAAAATAAATATTTTTTTATTTTTAATTGAACTAATTTCATTAGAACTAGTTGTTTCAATTTTAATATTATCAATTATAATTACCTATCCAAATTTAGTTTTTCATTACTAACTAAAATTGAAATTGCTTTTCTTTTTATTTTATTAAATCTAGTTTCTCTAAACATAGTTGATGCAACTTTGTTTATTACATTTTTGGTTTCAAATAATAAAATAATATTCATCTTTACATTATTGAGTTTGTTTAATTTGCTTTTAATTTTAATATTACAAGATGGATACAGCTTTCAAAATATGGTTTAAAGTAAAAAATTTTTTTTTAAAAAAAATATAACTATGTAGTAAAAAGTATACTGTGCTAGCAAAAGAAAAAACAAATTTTTTATTGTTTGATTATTAAATTCTAGATCTAAAACTATATATATAGAAGGAGAATCTGGCCATAATTATAAATTGCCAAATAATACCAATTTTGAGTAAATTGTTAAAAAACAGTAATTTGGCTTAACTGACCAATTAATCAGTTAACATATGCTGTTTTGTAACATGTATTAGCCAATTATTTATTCAGTTAAGTCAAATTATTGTTATTTAACAATTTTATTTAATATTGTATATTTATTCTGCAAATTATTTGTATACTGATCATCTCATTGTAAATTCTTATCTATTTTGATAACAATGTCCAATTTTAGATAATTTATTAATTTTTTTTAAAAATATTATTGATTATATATATAAGATAATAAAAAATAGCTTAGTAGTTTAGTCTATATTAATTATATATACATAAAGTCATTGTTTATAACATAATTATACAAACATATAGTCATTTGTATTATGAATATATATATTTTGATTGGAATATAAAATATTAGAAAAGTAGTAATAAACATTCTAATTAAGATGTAAATATTTAGAACAATTAAAATATATATAAGAACATTAAATTTAATAAAAGAAAAATAGTTATTGTTCCTAAATAATTACTAATAAAACAAATAAATAATAGAGAATTGTTATTGCCACCCCCTATTTTTGTTAATGCCACCCCCCACATGACCTTGCCGGTTTCTGACCCAAACCATGTGACTCAGATAGTAAAAAATCATGTGATCAGAGCTTATTAAATTCAATAGCTACACAAAGCATACATCACGTGACTGGTGTAACAAAATTTTACACATTGCACATACGTACATACATACTGTAACCTGAACATTTTATTCTATTCAATTTATAAGTTGATGCTTACCTACATACTATGTATAATTGTACTGTTACAGCTATATCAATTTTATCTTAGTAGTATTAGACATATATTTGATGTGCCATAATACATGTGAATATGTTTTCGTTATAAGAATAATGTATATATGAGGGCACAAGATAAAGCATTGCTATATCTCATCACGTACACATTATGCCAATCATGTAAACATTGCTGGGATCATGTAAATGTTCTAGTTATAATGTAAGCGTTCTGTAAAACTTATATGTATCTCTTATTCTTAGTTAAAAAGAGGTGATGCTCTTTGAATTCTCCATAAAAATAAAGGTCACATAAATTTACAATCATTTTTAGAATAAATGTCTAAATATCTGAGTCCTTTATGTTCCAATTCTTTAAAGTAAACTGTCAGGGCATTACAGTACCAAGCTCTTCTGTACAATGGGTACAGTAAATATCTATCGATGGCAGTAATACAGAGATTGTACCCAAGTAGATATCTTTATTATATGGCTAATAAATTATATGAATAACTGAGTAATTTATAATACCTGGGTAGAAATTTTCTTGACAGGACAATCTCTACAGTAATTAAGTAGGACAATATACCATATTTGATTAATAATTGCCAATTTATCTCTGAGTCATTGTTTAATGATTATATTTAGAAAATGGCAGATCCATTTTTAATTGTCCTGGGTTTAAACAAATTCTACAGTTTGTAGCATTCGTTTAAACACAAAATGATCAAAATTAAATTAGCCATTCTCGAGTTATGAAAGGTAATTATTTCAGATCTTATTCATGAATACTGTAATTTGTCTAATAACTCAGACAATTTATCTGAATGAAAAAATTCTTAATGGTATGCTTCAAGTATGTATACGTATTCTGATATATGAACTATAACCCAAATTACAGCTTAAATCATAGTTCAACAATAGCATATGTAATAATGCTAATGGTGTTAACAGTATTTGTTACTAATAGTATCAATATTTGTAAAATTATTAATATACTTGATAGAATTAAGAACAGAGATAGTTAATATAGAATATATATAGCTTCAAACATCGCTTAGAAATTCAAAACTTATGATGATAAATAATCCATCTTAGAATATCAATAAAATACAATCCTGATTCATAATCACATAAATTTTCAGTTCCTTGAACAAATATTAACTACAATAAACGGTAGGTTAGAAATAACATGAAATAAAACCTTACATACTGCAACCAAACCATAGGTAGTCATTCCAAGATTCCTTAGTCCTATTTTTATTTAATTCTATTTCACCTTTTATCAAAGTCAAATCTGATATTTGTTCGTTGTGTTGATGTAATCCTAATTTAGTTATATTCAATAATAAAATATGAAAAATCAGAAAAAATAAAATTCAATTTGCTCTACAAAATGAATCATAAAGAATATTTAGCTCGAATTATGTTTTTATTCAAGCATACTCTGATTTAACAATTATATAGGGAATGGACTAAGAAAATTCCTCCTTGAAAGCAAGTGTCAAACAGTGGTTTTTCTAGTCCAGTCTTTATATTCCAAACTGACTATTATATATAACAAATCTAATCGAAGTTTGCCTCTAACAAAGTATAACAATTATAAATTCGTGACTTAGAATATATAATTGTAATACTTGTTTACAAATTGTCATTAGCGATTTGTGATCAGAATTAAATTACTTAATCTATAGCATATTTCAAACTTCGCTATAAAGTATATGACAAATAAATATAGTATATAATTATTGTTTTGGTCAATTTTCTTTTTTTTTTTCTTTTACCTTGGAAAATTGGAATCTAAAACCCAAAACTATTTGTTTTATTAATAACTTGTAAGAATTTAAAATAAATATAGCAATCTGTTAGTAAAATTAAAAAAAAGTGTTGTGATAATAAACTAGAACTTAATAATATTAACTTAATAATAATATATTGACATTAACTTATTAAAACTCATTATAGTTTACTCTTAGCATACCCCATCTTACCTTATTGTCAAGTATGAATCCGCCTTCACCCAATCAATTTACGAACCACAATGAGCTTCTTGAATATATTCATGCTTTTTCTGAAACTCAAGAATACGCAGTAACTACAAAGAGGTCACGATCGGATATCAATGGTGAAATAAAAAATATTACATTAGGATGTGACAGAAGTGGTGTTTATAGGAACAGGTTAAATCTAACAGATGGTTCGCGTCATAGAAAAACAGCATCAAGACTTTTAAATTGTCCTTTTGAGCTTTTTGGAACCAAACATAATAATGTTTGGCATCTTGAAATCAGAAATTTTGAGCATAATCATGAAGCATTTACAGATATGTTAGGTCACCCAGTTGCTAGAAGATTAAATGTTGAGCAAAAAGAACTAGTCTGGAGAATGGCTGCTGCTGGTTCTTGTCCATGCCAAATTTTATCAACAATATGTCAGAGTGATTCATCTTCTAAGGCTATATCTAGAACAGTCTACAACGCCTTATATTCTATTCGTCAAGAAAGGCTTGATGGTCATACACCAGTCCAAGCCCTTCTTGATGAATTACAAGAATCAGATTTCGAATTTGAATATCAATGTGATGACCAAAACCATATAACACATCTCTTCTTTGCCCACAGAATATCTATTGCCTTAACTCATACCTATCCCACTGCACTGCTAATAGATTGCACGTACAAGACTAATAGATATAAAATGCCTCTGATGAATGTTGTCAGCATGTCAAGTTTTAACATGACTTTTTATTCCTGCTTTGCTTTTTTAAGCGATGAAACGGAATTGGATTATGAGTGGGTGTTGATCTGTATATTAAAAATTTTCAACAACATGTCACATCCTAATGTTATTGTTACCGATCAGGAGTTTGCATTGATGAAAGCTATAAAAAAAGTATTTCCTAATACTCAACATATCCTATGTATATGGCATATAAATAAAAACATATTAGCTAAATGTAAGCGTTATTTCACTACTGATGAGAATTGGACAGAATTTATCAGAATGTGGCAAGTTGTAATAGGATCTGTCACTGAGCAAGACTTTGAAATTCAATGGAATGAATTTTTAAAAAGTTACTCAAACAAACCTGAGGTCTTAAAATATCTTCAAGAAACTTGGTTGCCATATAAGAAACATTTCATTTCTGCCTATACTAATCGTCACTTACATCTTAGTAATACGGTAACTTCATGAGTGGAAGCTGCGCATGCCGCACTTAAAAAGTGTTTACAGTCATCAACGAGTAGAAATTCAAGCTTGATTTTATAAATTATAATAGATTAAAAAAAAAAAAAATTGAAATGTTAATACTTATAATTATTAAAAACCATTTTAATATTATTAAAAAAAATTTTTTTAAATTTTTATCCACAAATATTATTAAAAAATTTTTTTAAAATCTTTATCTACAGGTGATCTTGAGTTGGTGTTTCACAAAATCATATTACAAGTAGAATCTCAAGAAAGAGAAATCCGTGCAACAATTTCTTATCAGCGTATGAAAGTGCAACATATGCATCAGATTCCTTTGTTTGAACCTATCCTATACCGTGTCTCCTTCTTTGTCCTGAACAAGATACATGAAGAGTTAATTAAAGTTTTAAATGCAATACTGGATTCTTCTTTAAAACCTTGTACAGGAGTTTTCAGGTCTACAATAGGACTTCCCTGTTCTCATGTAATTAATGAACATCTGGCAGCTGATCAAACATTACAGCAATCTGATATCCATGAACACTGGTAGATTCAAGGTCATCGTATTGAATTTCTGGAACCCACCTACCTTGTGAATAATAATCAGAGTGATCTCCAACCTCTCTTGCAGTCTCTTATACAGGTCTACCAGTTTTGGCCACTACATCAACAAGTTGCCATCTATTCCCAGTTAGAAGAGTTAGTGAATACTCCTCCTATTGTGCTGGAAGATCCAGTAATTAGTAGACCACGTGGAAGACCAGTTGGTGCAAAGAATAAAAATAAAAGGTCAACACATAGGGATCTATCCGAATTTGAGCATACTGAGAAACATTCAAGACAATGTGGTATATGCCATTAAACCGGTCATAACATCGAACTTGCCCCAATATTGATCCTGAATCTGGAATCCATGAAAAATAGTAAAGTATAACATATGGGCTAATTTGATTGTGGTCTATAATATGTAATTTTGTTAGAAAATTTTTTGTAATTAGCATGTATATATTTTCTTACCTTAAAGTACAAATTTTCTAACGATTTATATGCTGAATTATCTATATATTTGCTTAATTTAAAAGATTAGTTTGTTCATTTGATAGACCCATTCATTAAGAGATCTGATTTATAATATCAAAAATGTTTGCATTGATCACTTGAATTCTCAGATTGATTAATATCATCATGCCTCTAATTACCTTATTAATCATTTTTACTACTTTTTACAAATTATATTTGAGTGTCGACAAGGAAAACCAGGCTTTTAACTTTTATAACTTACTGGATTCAGTCTATCAAATATTTTAGAGATCAAGTCTGGTAAATTTTAATTTAAAATTCCAAGACTGATTTTCCCTTGGTGATACTCATTTAATATCAATATGCCGAAAAACATTTTAGATATAAATGATCAATTAAGGGTATGACGTTAATAATCAAACGAAGAATTCCAATATTAACAGAATAGCAAAAGATGCCTAACACTTCGAAAATTATTGTATTAAACTAAAAATTTCCTGTAGCCTCTCAAAACTGATCCTGTCAAGACCGATAACCTGATAAAGAATTAATTTGTTTTGTTATATAATTCCAATGTTTATTATGTTTCAAAATCTGATAGCCTCTCAGTATTGATACTAAACGCATCTACTATTCATATCAGTCTTGAGAGATTAAGGTAAAATAAGAACTATTCCCTATTATAGCTATCGAAAGCATGTTTATTTAACATCTATGTAATATTACTGTATACGTGACTGTTATGCTAAGCACGTGGTACATTGGACTAAATGAACCTATGTAGCTTACCCACAAGGATTTTTTCTGGCACGTAATTTTTTGCCAATTATGTCAAAGGAGCAGGTATAACGTGAAAATCATATCTTTTTAAAAAATCGCTATTAACTCAAAATTTTACCTATGAAACTGCCTTTTGTGTTCTAATAAAAAAAATTCTTCGTGAAATTTTAGTATAAGCTATGACCTTTCTTATCCTCAACCCTAATTTTAAACATGAAGCTTATTACTTTAAAATCTTTCGCTTAATTCGATTGTTTTGATTTTACATTACACCTGATCCTTCAATCTAATTGGCAAAAAATCACGTGCTGGAAAATGTCGACTAAATGTTGATCTAAGTTTGTAAGCCACTGATCATGTGACTATGTGATTTGCATTACTATCCGAGTTATATGGTTTGGGTCAGAAACCAGCAAGGTCATGTAGGGGGTGGCATTAACAAAAATAGGGAGTGGCAATAACAATTCTCTAAATAATATAAAGCATTTAATTATCTAAATCTTTTCTTATGAATAATTTGCTTTGTAATATCAATAAATCTATTAAGACTTGATTCAATAGACTGAATTGACTTGTAATTTGATTTTGCTTATGAATTTAATGTTATAGCAAAATTAAATATTATTATTTTTGACTCTTGTAGAACTAATAATTAAAAATGTCTTTGTTAGTCTGTTATATAGATCTAGAAGTATTACTACTTATATTTATTTAATATTAACTTTAATTCTATTACTTTTAATTAAACATTACTAAGTTAATAATACATTCTTAAAATTACTGCTCTTAACAACATCACTTATAGTCACAATACTTTTTGATTAATATTAAAGCTTTGTATTATTATGCTTTATTCTATAGAAAGTTTTTTAATTGCTATAAGAAATTTGTCTTGTCTGTTAACAATTTATGTTAATTACCCATATACCATTAGAGTTAAATTATCTTTATTTTTTATTATTTGATATTTGCTCTCCTATTAATAGTTATATTTGGTGCCAATTGTGTGAAACAAATAGTTCTTTTTTTTAAAAATTTATAAAATTCATAAATATTATTTTTTATAAACTAAAGAAATTAATAAGAAAACTTACTTATAACTAAAAAAAAAATAAATTGTCTAACAAAACTTTGTTAATCTATCTAACCAACTTAATAAAATAAATAATCTAAATATTCAAATTGGTACTTTAGTACAGCAAATACAAGCTGCTTCTGCCTTCAAATCAACTACAATGTATTTGTTTACAAATTAAATATTGTTATATATTGTTATAGAACAATTTATTATTATTATTATTATTATTATTAGTTATTATTATTTTATTATTATTATTATTTGTATTAGTTATTCTATTATTGTATTATTATTATTAGTAAAAGTTGCTAAAACATCCCGGTTGATTAGTAATCGCTTAGTCACTTAGTTGTTTAGTCGCTTAGTCACTTAGTCACTTAGCCACTTAGTCACTTAGTCGCTTAGTAATTAGTCACTTAGTAATTATTAGTTATTAGTTGCTAAAACCTTCCGATCACTTAGTAATCGCTTAGTCACTTAGTTGCTTAGTTGCTTAATCACTTAGTCACTTGGCCACTTAGCCGCTTAGCTCACAAATATATAAACCCTGCTAAATTCTTCAAGTGCGATTAAGCAACAGACACCTCTCTTCCTTTTAATATTGTAAACACATCTTGGAATTCTTTAGGAACAGAAACCTAAAGATAGCTCTTCTTGTTATTACTTTAAT